CGCTGCTCATCAGTGAACAACGGCTCTGTGTAGTTAATGCTGCTCAAATGTGAAAGCCCGCAGGTGATGGAGATCTACCGCTGATTACAGAACCGGCTTTCTGACAAGATGCGCGTTAAATATCGCATGCGATTAATCGTGCAGCTATAGTTTGTTTTTGTTTTTTTTTTAAGTAAAATGTAATTTATTCCCGTCATGGCAAAGCTGAATTTTCAGTAGCCATTTTTTAATTCTTCATTGTCACAATATCACTCTAATATGCTGATTTGAGACTCAAGCAACATTACTATTTCTATTATTATCAATATTGAAAACAGCTGTGCTGCTTAATATTTTTGAGGAAACCGCAAAACAGTTTTCAGGATTTTTGATGAAAAAGAGTTCACAAAGACAGCATTTATTTTTCCTTTATAATGTCACATTATAAATGTCTTTTGATCAATTTAATGCACCCTTACTAAATAACATTATTAATTTCTTCTCTGACCTCAAACATTTTAATGGTAGTGTACATTATAATTACAAATTCTGTTAATATAAAGTGAGTATTACGAATACTGCAACATATTCTAATTAACCAGTACCAGAATTAAGAGGGAAAGAAATGTATTTGGGTAAGTGCAGATCATATTTAAATCCCTTAGTCGATGTTGGAGAAATTGAGTAAATAAAGAACTCTGACATTGAAAAATAAGTTCATACAAGAAAAAAATCAGCGCAACATATTCGATTAAAAGCAGCAATCTATTTGAACAGTCGTTATCACCACATGCAAAATGTGTATTTTTCAGGTGAATGACTACTGTTTGCACTGCAACTGGTTGTCAGAGATGGTGGGGAAAAAAAATGTATTAAATAAGAATAAAAACAATCTGTCTGATGCATTTTGTGCATAAACAATTCAAAAAATAGCTTAGGCAGATAGCAAAAAGCATCCAGTGTGAACAGACGGTGACATGAATCATTTATGAGCAATATGCCGAGCAGCTATACAGAAATTAATATTGCCACAACAAATAAGGTGTGTTTGTGCACACCAGGTGACATGGCTGTGCAATGAACACGCATTATTAAGAATTCAAGTGCAATACTCAGTCAAAAGGGGCACAGTTTGATCAAATGCTCAGGCATTCTGCACTGCTCTTCAGCACTCCACTCTCCTCCAGGGTTTCTCTCAAAGATACTACAAACTCAAACAGTCTAGACACTAGCAAAACAAGCTAAGAACTTGGCATGAGGATTTTAAAGAGAGAAAAAAGCACTCGACTTGCACTAAATTGCATTTTTAGCTGAGGTAAAACAGAAAGAAATCCTCTGAGGCCTCTTTACCATCTGCTATACCGCCATGAAAAAACAATATCTGACACACACACACACACACACACACACACACACACACACACACACACACACACACACTACTGCAGAAAACAACTGTTCTGGAATCAAACAATGTGCATCACTCATTCAAACACACCACAAATGCTCCAATTCTTTCATGCACACAACAGCTGCTGCTAAAACACACATGACAAATCACAAAATAAACTTTTTTTCAGAGCAATAATTAACAATTACGAAAACCAAACATTTAATGTGTATAAAGACAAACTGTTTTTCTTTCTTTTATTTATTTATTTATTTAGTAATTATTTTTTTGTATATTTTTCTACCCATTCAACTGATTATTCCGACACATTTTCGCAATTTCTAATAATCTGTGATCCACCCTGACAGCATCACCATGGTGACATTTATTTACATCAATGGAATTAGTTAAATACATCAAGAAACACAAATTGTAACACAAATTAAGCTGATTATTGATGATTAGATGATGGGTTTCACTGTCATTCTAAGTTCCTGACATACTCTTAGGAAATAAGATCAAAGCTGTCGAACAACCAGCCATACCAAGCATTCCAAACTGGGGTGAGAAAAATGCAAGTTGCCACATCCAGATATTTTGGCTAAATGCCTTAATAATGACATAGGAATCTTAAGAGCTAACATATTCTCTTTTTTTAGGTAAAACAGGAGCTAAAGAACATGTAAAGCACTATCTGAGGTAATGGACTTTGATATTACAGACTGAAATATACGTCACCCTCACACTTTGCTCCACTTATCTCTCCTACAGGATCATTTGTCTTTGTGGTCATTGTCTGTGAAAACAGGAAGGTCCATATTCAGCAGAAGAGGAAGAGGACACAAATGCTCACAAAAAAAGGTGTGTCTTTGTGATTTCTATGTGTGAACCTCTTCCTTTTGTAGAAGAACCACTAAATTTAAAATCTAATATTAAAACTATTTTTGCCAAACTGTTTAAAAATCTATAATTGTATTAGTAGATTATGAGGAAAAAGAGTGCTTTGCAGGTAAAAGACAGTTACAAATGGTAACAAACACATGGCTGTGTATTACGTCAAGATTCAAAATACTTTTCTGAATAGTTCTGTTGAACTTATTTTTAAGCCAAAACATGCCTAAACAATAAAGCACCAGGAAAAAATATTACGTCAATAAGTTGTCAGCTTAGTTGGGCTGTCAAAAGAAAACATACTCATTCATTCCTCAATTTTTTTAACCTAGGAGGAGTCTCTGATGATAATACTTGATTCAACTTTCCTGTTCAAGACATAACTGGAACAGTCCTCGAAGGAATCACTACAAAGTGTATTAAAATATATATTTCGTTATATACAAAAACAAAAATCACAGTAAAGTAATCCACCATTCAATTTTGTTATTTCTGTAGATAATTAAAACTATGATTCTTGTCATTATTTCGAGAACAACTAAAAAAAGTCAGTAATGCTGTTTCAGTCTAAACAGTTAACGTTACGTGATCACAGAGATTCAGAAAACCACCACAACTAGTAAAGATGTCTTGCGCAGCTAAACAGAAGAATTCACACTTTTAACAAAGGCCGAGAAGCGTAAACACGAACCATACGTTACTATATTAGTGGGGAAAATCTTGGCCATAGTGAAGTGGTAATGAAAGCTAAGACTGTATCATAATCATCACAACTCTACTGTGTGCAAAGCTACGCTAACATCTAGCAAAAGCTGTTTTAACAGCCAACTTCTACTAAAACTACTAAGACGTTTTATCGCTTAAAATGCGTATTATACAGATCACAATATGAATAAAATGACAATGTCAAACTGCTGAGAAGGTCTGGAAAACAGCTGGAGTCTCCAAACAATACACTGGCTGCTTTGGCTAGTCAGACTAGCTGTTTAGCACAGCATCGCTGTCTACCTGCCACTCAAAAAAAAGCTACAACATTAATAGTCTTTCTTTAACGGACTTCAAGTTCCAATAACAATACCAGTCTGGGAACCGTGTACCATTCTGCGGTAAAAATGTATCAGCGGTGTTTTCTTACCAGCTGCCTTCACGCACTTCCCCTACAGCCTCCGCCATTGCGGTGGTGACGGGCCACGTCAAACGGTGTCGTAAATACCAGCGTCTTGTCTCTACGACCGCACGCACGCGCTTACTAGCGCAAGTCTAGACGCGACATAGAACGCGATAATCAGTGGAACTGTGTATTCTACAAGAGCGAGATTTTAGCTTAATAAATAAAAAATGAGCGTTCTAAACCCGCTCGGTTTCGACATAGTATGACATGACACTTGTTGCCTGCCTCCAAAATAAATCAATCAAAAACTATGTTTTGTTGTGCATGTAGCCTAGTCTACTTGCTGTTGAATTTGATTTGGGATGAATATTAAATAGGCATATATTTTCTCTAATGATGCATCCCATGTTGTATGATGTATGTAATTTGTAATGTGTTATTGAATAAATAAAATAGAAGACTTCTTGATGAATCTAGAGTTTTTAATTAGCCTAATAAAAGTAACTTAGTGTGTGTGTGTGTGTGTTGTGTTGTGTACTTTGTTTTATTTAAAGGGGGGAACAGACAAAATTGCTAATCTTTTGCCCATTTCCTGCATCATCAGTAGCTGCTCCATCATACATCAACCTTTGAAGGGTTTTTGAAAGGATTCGTAAATATTTATTTATTTATTTATTTCATCCATCCATCCATCCACCCATCCAAAAATATCAATTAAAAATGCCTGTTGTCCGAAGAACATCTGTCTAAAGTCCACAAATACATTTTAGCCATGAGGAGAAGGCAAGACTTCAAGTTACTATCAACCTGGCTCTGTAGGTACTTTTGCCTTTTTTTAAGATGTAGGCCTGCTTTTTTTTATTATTATTATAGGCTATCATGACGATGCTCTTCACAACGTCTACACTTTCATGCAAAGAACTGTGGATAGATGGATGTTGGCAAGACAAAAGAGTAACACCTGTTTTAAAGACCACATTTGTTAAATTAGTTTTTTATGCTTTTGATGTCAAGGGTTTGCGTGCAAATACTCATTTACTGATCTCATTCGATTTTTTACCCTGGCAAAAAGTGAGGAGGCATGCCATCCTCACAGGAACTTACGGGAAGCACTTGTGCCTGCTAAGACCCAACACAGTGCACTTGTGCCATTTCTACAACATTTGGGAAAAGAACTCTAAAGAGCCCATACCAATGAAGCACAGAAGTATTGGTCAGTGCTTCGTCATTGTCATTCTACTTTCAGAATGATTCAGAAATGGCTTCAACAAAGATGTATAATTTTAATATAATAAAATTATTAAATGTAAAACTATTTTTATTTATTATTTTTAGTTATTTATTAAGAACAATACACATTAATATTGGATTTATAAATGTGCCAGTTTAAGCCAAAATAGAGTTTTCATCTGCTGTTCCTTGGCATGTGGTGGTGGTCATGCATTTAACCAAAAAGCACATTTAATAAACATTAAATAAAAGTAATTACAAATTAAAGTAATTTGCATCATAACACAAAACCAAACTGGCTTTATGAATAATTGTATGGGCAACTCATTTCTTTATTTGATATTATCATACATTAATATTACACAGGTAAACTTTTCCAACATCACATTGTCCCCTCATTGCATTTATTTATTTTTACTCGAGGCATTTTTTTTTTCCACAGCTATTTTCAACAGATCAAGCACAACTAATTTATTTGTAACCTTTAGGTGGTGCCACTTAGCTTGCATTGTAAAGTGTATTTTAAACAATCAGTTATGATCTTCAAACATGCAGCAGTCTTGAATGATTTGTTCCCTCAAAATTGGTCTGTAAATCCATTATTAATAATTGATCAGACTGGAAACCGAAATAAGGAAACATATGTAAACATTTACATATTAGGCAATGCTTAATAGTCAATGTATACATGCATACAGGGAAATGATCACATCATATTTTTTGTAAACTATTTGTTCTGATCAGGTTAAAGGCCAAGTCCTGTACCATGTTACACATTCAGTCAACAATGGTTTAAAAATAGAGCTACAATATAAGAGAAAATATCTCAATCCATATTTAAAACAGTAATGCCACTTTATTTTTGTTGACGTCATAAAACAAACTTAAAGCAGGTAAACAATAAATAATCAATTTCCTTTAAAAAGATGGATATATGAATGTAGATAGTGAAGAAGTCATGGCTGCAGTAGTCAAGAAAAAAGATCTTACTGTTTTATTAAATATGAACAAGAACAATACCATTCTTACATTAAAATAGGGATTTATCCCACTAATATATATATATATATATATATATATATATATACACACACATGCATACATACACACTAGAACTGTCCTCCATATACACAAATATACAGTATGTATTTAAGGGCATGCCTCTTCGACTTTAAAAGTACCTTAATATCTCAAGACTACAAATGAATGCCAAATTTGAACAAAAGACCAGTGAGGAAGAACTTAGTTGCTAAATGTAAGGTGTTTCTTTTATTTTCTTGCATTAAGATTTATAAAGAAGAGAGCCATTGTTCAAAAATACACCTCAATGACATTTTTATTTCACAGAGAAAGTAAACAAAATAAAATCAGATATGTGAACTTCGGAAGATAAAATGAGAGGAATGTAATTTTGGTGATTCATATTTTTTTTCCAGATTCGTTCATGTTCTTGCACAAAAATTAAACGTTTCTCACCGCTACGTTTTTAACATTTAACACTTTAGTGCCTCAGTTTGAAGAGATGGGCAAGGTGATTTCACAGCAAAATTCTTGTACAGGGCTAAAAGGGCTTTAAATTAGTTACACTATTTTAATAGGCTGAATATCTTCTATAGGATATTATCATTTGTATTGACATGTATTATTAAATGCAGCAAATTACAAATTACATTACATGCAATGTAAAAAAAATAAAAAAAAAAATTAAAAAAAAAATAAAAGAAATCCCAAAACTCAAGGTAAAAATAAACACAAAAATGAATAACTGTATGGCCAAATTTCACATTTAACCTCAATATAATCCCCTTCTAATAAACACAGTCAACACAGCAGTGACACACCAAGAACAGATTTATAACACAAATACATCTCAACTAAAACTTTAATCCTTCACTTCCCATACAACAAAGACCGTAAATAAGGTTGCTAGGATGTGACAGTGAAAGGACAAAACTTGTGCACATTACAGCATCAAACCATGAATCAATAATGCAGTCCTGCTGATGGTATACACTGGTATAAACTTACTCAATCTGGTGTCTTGGATGAAAAGAGAAAAAAAAGAAAGTAAAAAGTAACGTTTTATTGGTGATTAAGGACCCCAATGTCCATAGTTGACCATTAAATTAAGATTATATAATCAAAAAGATTCACATTTGTCACACCAATTGGCAGGGGAGGCTGAACATGAACAAATGAGTACTGTTGCAAGATAGCCTAAGCCATACTCAATGAGGGAGGATGTGAGCTATGCCACTGATGATTTGATATCAAACAAAGCAGACATCAGTCTTTTTCACTTGCTTTTTGCTTTATCTTGTTTCTTTTTGCTGTTCCTCCACCATTTTCTGTGCCACCTTCCAGTACTCAAATAAAAACTGGTGTAAACATGTGGTAGCAGAACCTGTCCGGCCTTCCTTTTCATTGATAATGATCATCTTTATAATGAAGTAAAAAAAAAAAAAAAGGGTTATGGGATGTGTACTGTGGCCCGGCAGTAGAGAGTGGCAAAAGGAGGCAAGAGTTATAGCGTGGGAGGCTTGAGCCCATACTTCTTGGCCACCTCTGTCTGGGCATAAGCAGCATCACAGAGGGAGTAGAGATGGGCCATCTCCATCTCTGACTTGGCCAAGTTGATGGCCTTGTTGAACATGTCTATAGCCATGTCCAGATTGCCTCTGTGGAAAAAATTGAAAATGTTTTTTTTTTTTTTTGTCAGAAGCTAAAATCACAAGGTTGTAATAGCCACATAAAAGTTTCAATATAATGAGTGACTTGTGACTTACAAATTAGGAATAGAAAAAATGGGAAGCAATGTAACATCACAAACCTTTGGACTTCAATGGTTCCCATGGTTTCATAAGCAAAGTCACATTTATTGTCAATTTCAATGGCTTTGCTAATGAGTTCAAGGCCCATTTCCAGATCCTGTTTCCACTGAAGCTGCAACAGACTGCAGAAGAAACACAACTGATTAGTATTTTCTTAATTGAACTTGAATGGATTAACACGATTCTTTAAGTACAAAAAACAAAACTAACCCTTTGTGGACATATGTTGTGGCATTGTCTGGCTCTAGTTCAATACATTTGTCATACATTTCATCTGCCTTACCAAACTGTTGCTGGTCTGTTAGTGCCTATCACCAAAAAAAAAAAAAAGTAGACAATACATCATAGTTAAGTAAAGAACGATAAAGAGGTAAACAATGATAAAGCATCATTTTATAAATGGTTTCATGCAATCAAGGTGAGCAATACCTGTGCATACAGAGCATAGCCCTCAGCACACTTTGGAAACCTCCTAATGACATCCTCAAAACCATCCATGGCTTTCTGAACCTGGGATGGGTTGTTTCCAGTGTAGGCCTGCCGGTACTATGAGAAAAAAAAAAATGCCAATAACATTCCTATCATTTCTACAAAGAGTATTTCTCATATCAGGTTCTTCTAGTTGAAAGTCAATAGTAGACCACATACATTAAGCAAAGGTATCATCTTTATTCAAACAGCTTCAAGAACAGTACCAGCATAAAGGTACAACCTTCCTGTTGTACTTACCAACGCAAAACACTTCTGGGCCTGGGCAAGTGCAGAGTCTGGTCGAAGCTTTATACACTCATCAAAATCTCCCACAGCCTCCTCTACCTGATCCAGCAGAATCTTCAACTGAGAAATTAAAATATTACCAATAGGATGTCAAGACATTTCCACAAGTTTGATGTTGCTAATTACCAGTTGTTAGGGAATGTTGCAGAGCAGCGAAGCAAATTGTAAGTAAGAACGACAGTAAATGAAAATGAGCGTCATAAATTCCACGTAGCTGCTATGGTGTACAAACATCTTAAGGCAAATTGGTGAATGCCATCTCAAGAATGTTACAGACAGAAACAATCCAAAATGTCCAGAAGCACAAGTCACTGACTCGAAACGACTATTTT